TTTTGGCTCATCTGCAAATGATTTAATTGGCATTTTATGCCTGTTTCGATTGGCTTGGTTTGTTGCATTTATCATTAGTCGACACCAAGCTTGATGTTTGCACATATTAGGCCAGGAGTTTTCACGCGCCTTCCCAGGATTCCACGAATGTGCCGTGTGTTAATGTGTCTAGGTTCCTAAAATACAATGACTTTATTGCCAGTACATTACTTCCACCAACTCGTGGTATTTGGATGCTGAAATTTTTTAGGAAAGAATCCAGTATTATCCAATGCAACAATAACTATTATGTCTCAATCCCAAACTCACCAGGTAAATGAGCTAAAGGTGCAAGGTGGAACTATTCTGTTTGTTTAGCTAGTTTAATTGTCGAGTGCTGAATGACAAAAGTATTAACACGGCTTTATCTTTCTTAGAGTTCTGTAGGCTTTGCCAGAGCTTGGTTTGATACACAGCTGGACGTAATTTAGGGTATTTTGTACTTGAGTCATTTTTTTTGAGAAGGTAACATATTCCATTTTAACTTTATTATTGGCTGCTAATGTCGTGGTCTGGAATTATATGCCTGTCCCATTATGAAAAATAATATGATTACTGTACTCACTATTGAATTGATTGAGCTGTGTGCAATCATTGGGAGGTCCATGAAATAATGATTCTATTGGATTGGATAAAGACATGTCAAAATGAGTTAGAAAACTGCGATGTAGTGGGTGTAACCATTGTAGCTCATATTGGGGATTGAGTTAGCTAACTAGCAGAACACCCTCACCTTCCACCATGTGGGAAGAGAGTTCAAATCCCATAAACAGCATTGGCTTCAAGCCTCCCTGATATAGTAATAAAAAAATTAAAAGAGAAAATCTTAGCATGTTCTATCCAATGATTTATGTTGTTTCACCAGTTTTAAAAACTCTACGTGCAAAGTATGTTGAAGATATATATGATTGTTGAGGATGCCCCCAGGGCTTTGGTCTAGCGGGTGATATGTGGGTCAGGCACACTTGCCAAATTTGTCTCGATACGCTTTCTTTTTGACACGGTGCTCTGAGCATGATCTGGGTATATAATTCAACGTCTTTGAATGGCCAAAACTTCAATATGTTTAACATTCAGGTAACTGCTAATGACTGAAGACTAAATGTTTTTGTTCTCATGGTGAAAGAAAGCTTCCATAGTTTATGAATATCATGTCCACCTTGGTATTCTTGCCTAGGAAGAAAACATTCATTAGTCTTTGAATCGAACTTGCAAGTCTGTGCATTCAGTTACATGGATGTCCTTTGACAGTCTTTTGGAACTATGCACATGCACCAGGTATCGCGTGATAGCTGATTGTGTCATTTTCTTTTTAGATGGATGTCGTGATAGTTCTTAAAACTATGCTCGTGCATCAGGTATAGCATGATAGCTGGTTGCTTCGTTATCTTTGTTAGATGGATGTCATGTGATAGTTTCTTGAAACTATCATTAGTAGCTTCAAGAAACTACTATCGCGTGATAGATGCACATGCACCAGGTATCGCGTGATAGCTGATTGTGTCATTTTCTTTTTGGATGGATGTCGTGATAGTTCTTAAAACTATGCTCGTGCATCAGGTATAGCATGATAGCTGGTTGCTTTGTTATCTTTGTTAGATGGATGTCATGTGATAGTTTCTTGAAACTATGCACATGCATCAGGTATCACATGATATCTGGTAGTGTCATTAGTAGCTTCTACAGCTCGAAGAAGCTCAATGTCATGTCATTTGGGGTATGTTTTATTACTCTTTTTCTGGGTTATCCTCTTCTCCAGATTGTTTGGATGAAGTAGGAAGAAACTTCTATAGGTTTCATGTGATTCAAGCCAACTAGTTCCTGATGCAGGAAAGTCCTACTTGTATTTTCTGTGCCTTCATGGAATTATGAAATACATCTTCTCATTTTCAGCGTGAACTGCAATTATTTATACCTTCCCCTTTGTTGATCCCCCCTTTTCAGGCAGTAGTAACTTTGTAGGTGATGATGGCAATCGAACTAGTTTGATTATCTCATGTAGATGAGGTAAAAGTTTCTATACAAGCAAGGTTGTCGACTCATGGAGCTTAAAGTTTCATCTCCAAAGCTGGTATTTTCAACTTCTGATTGCAATAGTGATCCCGAGGAGAAAGAAATTAGTGAAGATGATGATGATGATCGTAATCATAAACATCGTAGAAAGGATACACGTTCACAATCTACAGAGACAGAAGCTCTTGACCCAGCTTTAAGGAGACCATTCAGGAAACGGAACAAGCCGTTTGAAAATGGACATCCTTACCAGGAAGGAGATTCTCACTCGAGTGATACTAGGTTTGGGAAAAGACGAGGAATGGGTTCTTTTTCCAGGACACCTTCAGATTCATATCAGATGATGAGGCTAAATCAGTCCCTGTCTGGTCATGCTGGTCCTGGTAGGGGTCGAGGAAGAGAATCTGGTGCTTGGGGTCCGTGTGAATCTAGGTTCAGCACTATTGATATTGCGTCTCAATTTGTTCCACAAGGCCCTATTAATCCTCTTCTTTATACTGGAAGGGGGCCGCAAAATGTTTCCAGTGGACAGGGTGCGCCTTGGAATGCGTTTGGAATAGTTCCAGCAATACCTAATGGTGGTCTTGATACACTTCATACCCTTGGTTTACAGGGAACGCTTAGAACGTCCTTGAATCCTGCCATGACTATGGGCATTCCAAGGCAAAGGTGTAGAGACTTTGAGGAGCGTGGTTTTTGCCTAAGAGGAGATATGTGCCCTCTGGAGCATGGAGTAAATCGCATCGTTGTTGAAGATGTTCAGGTAGGCGTCTCAGCTGACAAATATTTGTATTTATCTTGTTCATTAAATTCAATGTCCTTAGGCACATTGATTCTGACTTTTTGTTTTCCAAATTGCAGAGCCTTTCTAAGTTTAATCTTCCTGTTTCACTTCCCGGTGCTCATATGGTGGGACCAGCTACTGCACAAGGATCTTTACCTGCAATAGGCCCCTCAAGCTCATTGGCTAATAAAGCTTTACATAACAAAAGTATCAACCCTCCAGTGATTGATAATGGATTAGGTTTGACTGATACTTTTGGTGGTGGTTCTGTGGCTGGGGGAGCTGATTTCTATGATCCTGATCAGCCTCTATGGTCAAATGATCATCCTGAAAATTCAGCAGCACTTGTGGATGTAAATCGGTCTAAAATTGATGATACAGGGCCGATGCTGGATGCAGACTCCTCTGATCAGGATCAGGTTGCGGTTTGTGATGGCTTTAAACTTGAGCGTCTAGATAGAGATGCTGGAGCAGCTTCAGGATCTCAAAGTGTGTGGGAAAGAACCAGTAGGTCTAAACATAAGTTGCAATCATTCAACAGCACTCAGGGTGTAAACCGTCATGGTAAGCAAACAAATGTAGATACCATAGACCCGCAAATGATGGAATCATCTTCAGAGCCCCAAAGTAGTTCTGGACTCAATATGCGAAAACCATCTCAAAAGGCACTCCGTACTCTATTTGTAAGTGGGATTCCGCAGAAAGACAACAAACCAGAAGCTCTTCTTTCACATTTTCAAAAATTCGGGGAGGTTATCGACATTTACATCCCGATGAATGGTGAACGAGCTTTTGTTCAATTTTCTAAGAGGGAAGAAGCTGAGGCTGCTTTAAAAGCACCAGATGCTGTGATGGGCAACCGCTTTATAAAGCTTTTCTGGGCAAACAGGGATAGCATTATGGATAATGGAGCAAGTGGTCCTAGTAATTTTCCATTAGCTCCCCGCGGTGGGACACCCAGTACGGTTCCACCCCATCTATTGGTTCCTCATAAAAGGAAAGACAATCTGCAGACTGTAGCCCGAAAAACTGCTGAACATGGTATTGTTGCTCCGTTAGCCACCTCTGATCTGCCCAAGCCTGTGGCTCAGAATGGTCTCAAAACTACACCACCTTTGAAGAGAAAACTGGAAACTTTAGAACTTCTGAAGGAAGAAATGCGCAAGAAGCAGGAGATGCTTGAGCAAAAGCGTAATGAGTTCCGACGCAAGTTGGATAAACTTGAGAAGCAAGTAATGGCCTCTTCTTAATATCAAAATAATAATAATTATTGTTTAAGCTTATAATCTCGCAATTACGGCTGCTTTACTTTTATGCTCGTCTTGTGAACTTAAAAATGTACCATTACATTCTCAGCCGGCATTTTTGCTGGTGTTGTCTGATTAGGTTCCTCATTGTTAATTTAGATGAGAAGTGGAAATTGGGGATCAATTTGGCTGCAGAATTTCGCTGTTATATCTTCCAAATAAAGTAATTGCTTGTGTAACATCAAATTGATCTTATATCTGCGGTAGTNTCGCTGTTATTTATCTTCCAAAAAAAGTAATTGCTTGTGTAACTTCAAATTTCTTATATCTGCGGTAGTTTATTTGTTTACCTCCCAGTGTATGGCGATACAACTTCATTGATCTGTTCTTTTTTTTTTTTCCTTTTTTGGTTAATATTGGTCCGAAATGAGTTTAAATGGAGCTACACAGTCCGTGAAGATTCATATAGTCAGATCCCAACTTGCTTTGGATTCCCTTAGTAGTTGTTGTAAATATAACTTCTTTATTGTAAAAGCAACTGGCAGTTGAAACCCCCTTTTCTTCTGCGTCCTTTGTTATGCAGGCTGTGGGTGTGAAAGATGAAGCAGCGCCAGATCAGGCTATGAACAAACCAAAGGGAGGAGGAACAGTTTCCAACTCTGGTAAAGTGGAAAATTCAAGTCCCGTAGAACCTAGTAACACTGTGTCATCACCACCATCTGAAGCAACACCAGATAGTAGATCTACAGAGAATGCCGAACGCACTTGTTCAAAATCATCTTCGACTGTTGCACCGCGTGAAGCTTCGAACTTGAAGCAGTCAATTCGTCCATTGGCACCGGTGGGCGCACCTTTTATCTCAAATAGATACAAACTAGATAACCGGCCCACCGCATTCAAGATCCTTCCACCTCTACCAAGTGCTCTGGCAAACGTAATCTCTCTAACTCACTTCAGATAATTGCTATTTGTAAGAGATTCTTTCACAAGAGAAAAAGAATGCGGATATGCCTTTCTTTGTTTTCCCTATGCTGTTATGCTTTTTCCCTGACATGTTCTTTCACGTTTTAGACTTGAAATATGTAATATCAGCAAGAGTTTATTCTTTCCACACATATATGTTTTGCTGACTCTTCCAAAGCAAAGGTGTAAGGGTGTAAAACTATGCATATCTCTGCTATAACCTTGTGCTTCTTGTAATGAGGTGTGTTAGGTTGATGGTTTTCAATCTTTATAAATTAATAGTTTTAATTTGTTTTTAATGTACTCATAACTCACATGACTAAAGCAAGAGCACAGGGGGCTGCTGTTTGTTCGCATATTTTCACATCTTTGTTTTTCTGGAATTGGATATGTTTTATCCCCTTTGTCTAGTAAATGGTTCAGGTTAATTTGTAGATTCATTTGCTCTGGTTCCTGTATTCTCATTTATATATTGTAAATAATTTTCTATTTTTAGGTTGACGTCCTGAAGGAGCACTTTTCTACTTTTGGTGATCCTCCTTCTGTTGAGCTGGAGGATTTGGAACCTCAAGATTGTAATAATGGCTCAGAGGTGCAAAATACATCTGCTAGAATATCTTTCCGATCACGTCGTTCTGCTGAAAGAGCATTTCTGAATGGTAAATCCTGGCAAGGCCAAATTCTGCAGCTTATGTGGGTGCAATCCAGTAATCCTGCAAAGGATGTTGGTGTTGGAGAAAATGTTACTCCAGCTTCAAAGCAGCCTTCAGATGCTAATGGGCAATCCAATGCAAAAAATGGCGTGGTTGGTGTACCGGAAGGAAGTGTGGCAGGGAACCATGAACCTGACAATCAAGGAAGAAGAGAAGATGAATGAGATTCAAATCAAGCTCAGCTTCTGCGTCTGGTTAACAGTTAGCTCAATGTGATTGATCATGATGATGGCCTGATTTTAGGAGTTGTACAGCGAGATAAATTTTTAAACCATTTATATGTAATTTTAGGAGTTATTAGTAATCAACAAATTTCAGTTTCAATTTTGCTTTCACATTATCTGCAAAAGTAAAGAAGAATTTTTTGATTCTAAACCAGCTGTCCTGTTTGTAAGCTGTACTGAATTCTCTTTAGTAACTGGATGCTCAGACAGAGTCTAGGATTTACTGCAGTTCTTAAAAGAAAAGAAAAACAGAATTATGAAGATGAGATAGTGCCAGTCATTGTTGGCGTTTTACTTATTTCAAGTGACTTCCCACTGCAGCTTTCTACCAGAATTTGAGTTTCTAGTTCACAAATGTATGAGTTGAGGTGTTCAAATAGGAAAATTTGTTGAGGTGTTCAAATAGGAAAGTTATAAGTTCGTTTACCAAATTGGCAATTGGATTGTAAATTTAAGTGGCCAGGAGGCTATTCTGCCAATTATCATTTTTTTAAAAAATTATTAGGTGTATTGTTATTATCATTGTCATTTTTAGAAAGTCCAGGGAGTTAAACTGGGTAAGAGCATTTATTTATTTTCAAGCCATTTCTCATTCTTTACGGCGCTCAAACCCGAAACATCCTCACAATTTTGAGAAAATGACAATAATAGTCCCTTATTTTTGGAAGTAAGTTTACGGTGATCCTTTAAATATGCCCTTACCTGTTTTAGCCCTTTAAATTTGACAAAACTTAACAGTTTTGGTCCACATCTATTTTTTAAGTTAAATTTAACATTCCCATCACATGAGCCTCACGCGAGCCTCAAAATTAAGAAAATCGGCTCTCTCCCAATTTTTTCACGCACCTTACTTTCTTTTCCCCATATTTCTCTTAATAGCCTAGCTGTAATATGAAGCTAAAATCAATAAAAGAGTCAGGAAAACAAAATAGTCTACCTCTTCCTCTTAATCATGCCAATAACAAATGTCTGAAGGCATATTATTAAAGTATCTTCTCTTTCTTTAAAACGCACATGTTTGAATATTTGAATTTATGGTCTATCAGAGCCATCTGAGAACTTTTTGTAGCGAAGGAAACTAAGGATACATTTCAACCAGTAAATTTGTGATATTACTAGACCAGAAAGTTTTCTCCTTGATAGTGCACTCAACAACCCAATCTAGCAGCAATGACCACATATTTCTGTCACCAATAATACCAATTTAATAGAGTTTATTAAACCAATCAGTTTTAATAATTTTTCAAGAATAGTTTTTTGATGAGTGCCCTTCCTATATGCATCTCTCATACTTTGTCATGTGAGAGCTTTCAAGGAAGTGGGGAGAACTGTTAAAGTTAACTTTAAAAATGGATGGAGACCAAAACTGTTAAGTTTTGTCAAACTGAAAGGACTAGAACTAGTAGGGGCATATTTAAAGGTCCATAATAAACCTATTCCCAAAGATAAGGGACCATTTTTGTCATTTTCTCTCACAGTTCTATCCAAAAAGAACTTCGTTATCCTATTTTGCCATTTTACGACTCAAAACTGTTATCGTCTCGCGTGAAATGGCGGCATCTTCTCCTCTGATTTTGCATTCCTCGGCCTCCTCTTTCTACAGCGAATTTCCGGCCCATTCAATTCGATTGCCGGCCGTAAATGCTAAGGTTTTAGCCCTGCCCAATAAATTGACGGTGAAAGCCTCATCAGGAATAGTATTGGTGGAGAAAAGTGAAGCTGAAAAGGTTAATCGCCTGAAAACAAATTACCTCGAAAAGATTGTTCCAATGTTGAAGGAGGAATTCAATTACACCAATATTCACCAGGTATACTTACTTCTTACTCTTCTAATGTTACTCTGTTTTCTTTTTCTTTATGATTGGATTTAGAGTTGAAATACTGAGAAATAATTTGTTCTAGTTTATTCGGCACTAATATCATTTTCTGAGTAAAATATTTAAGTGCTTTGACTTAGCACAATTATTTAGTGTTACTTTGATATGGTATGTGGAATAATTGACTTGTAGGTTCCGAAGGTTGAAAAGATTGTGGTAAATTGTGGTATTGGAGATGCTGCACAAAATTCAAAGGGTTTGGATGCCGCAATGAATGATTTGGCACTAATTACTGGGCAAAGGCCAGTGAAGACGAGGGCTAAGAATGCTATTGCTACTTTCAAAATTAGAGAAGGTCAACCGCTTGGAATTGCTGTTACACTTCGAGGAAATGTATGTTGGCCTTTCTATTCTGCTTTTTAGCATTGCAATTTTTTTTTAAATTCCTTCTTTTAGCTAAAATTCACTTGCAATTCCATTTGTTCTATATGATATTATGTGATTTATATCTGGGTAGTTAGCGGACGAACATCCGTAATGTAATTATCTTACCAAAACATGTATAGGGAATTTAGGTGCAAGACTTGAGTTTTTGGGGTAAAGCCTTCTAAGATAAAGGAAAAGCAAGAAATAAGTCGTGCCTTTCAAATTTTGATCTATAATTTGTATGTCAAGTTTAATTTGATCTAATCCTAAATAAATATGATTTGTCACAGAGTAATCCTAAGCCATCATCAGCTAATTCCAGGCTAAACCTGGTTAGCATTTGCTAAACGATAGTGTATAATGTGGAAAGGGACCAGGCAACAAAAGAGAAGGACTAAATGAAAAGATGTTTTTCTTGGTCCGCCACACTATCAGACCTTTTGACCTATATCCCTAGGCATTCGTTTCTTCCTTTTGGAGGGGGAGATCTTCCTCCACAAAACTGAAAATGAAGCAGCAAAAAATACTGATTTTCACCCTAAAGCTAATTGATGCTCTAATGTGCTTTAATACGGAATTGCAAATTGGAGGAATATTCATTGTGTTGAAGCTTGTGAATCTGCTTCCATTTCTTCACACTCCAGGCATGTAGCGGCTGGCCTGTTAATGGCAGGTGGTAATTTGTGTTCTGATGCATTAAATTTGACCCTTTGAAAGAATTCTATCAATGGCCAATTTTGCTGGAGGAAGTTATTCAAAAGAAATCAAAGAAAGCCAGTGATATCTCTTCATTTAGTTGTTATTCTCCTATTGTGCCTGCCATCTTCTTTTGCCAACCCTCATCTGGGCCAAACTCTTTCACGCTACATTTGCAAATTGGACATAACGCAGCAGGCCCTTAATTTCAAGGCAAACAAGTTGGGTTTCTTTTAGCAGGAAGAGATGTAGAAATACTGCTTAGTTGAGCCATAGATGCAGGAATAAGAGGAATAACTTGAGGGGAAAGTTTAGTGGAATAGGGACTTGCTAAAAGAATCTTGTTAGGTAAGCAGAGTTTCAGAGAAGAAGGAAAAAGGTTGGCAGAAAAAGCGGAGAGGAACAGGTGAGATAACAAATAAATATCAAATCTCAATGAAATCTTTATTCGGAAATTGCTAAAACTATATGGTTTCATGACTCATGTGGGAGTTAACTGGGAGATATAGTAAACACTAACTAGTTAACACTTGGAGACCAAGCTAAACCTTTGACTTAGAAATCATGCTGCCTTATAGTTGCTGCCAGTCGAACATGGTGGCCAAGTTTTGAGTGGTTGTCAGAATTTCTTGTTGTTCAAGTTTCTATTTCATGAGCTGCTACCTGCAATAAAATGCCACTATACTACAAACTCAATCCCTAAAAAATCCAGAAAGAGTAAACAATAAAAGTAATGACCACTAAAAAGAAGGTAAAGAATTTTTTCCGGGTAAATAAAATAATCTTAAGTAATTTCTCTTGCACCTGTCAACTATTGTTGCAATATGTTTTACATCAGNTGGGAGGGTGGGGCTGGGGTTGAGCGAGGTAGTGAGGGAATCTGGGATGGGTAAGGGTGCTGGCGATAGTGGAAATAGAGATGGGTAAGTATTTCGAGTGGATTGGAATTGATGGCTTCTCCCTTTTGCTGTAATGAGCTTGAGGACTAGTCATATTCGTTTTAGATGATCTTAGGACAGATGAAATATTAGGCACCCAGTCAAATTTTAAGCTTTACAACGGTGACCTTAAGTACCGTTGATTCTTTTGAACTTTTTGCACAAATGGAAGAGTTCAAAGATATAAAAATCACCTGTTAGTGTCAACCTCATATTAGCCGCTGGCATTTTTTATGCTAGCTATAGACCCTAGTCAGTACTGTGCTTGAAAGATCTTTGTGCATGCAAAACATTTGCATGGTGTTTGGGGTATTTTAGTAGTTTCTAAAAAAAGGTTTGCAATAACTATTTCTGCAAAAAGTTTTTGTTTGGTGACAAATTTGCAAAAAAGGTTCACTTTTTTTGTTTTTGGATATTTGATTTCCAAAAAGTTTTTGCAATAAAATTTTCCAATTAAAAATAAAAACTCCCATTGTTAAATATTTTTTTTTTTTTTTTTTTTTTT